GCAAAAAAATTGACTTTCAATTTCATTCAAAAAATAAAATATGTCCATTTTGATGAAATCGTAGTTGAGCGGCCTATGACATTAAAGAAATGTTTAGTAGCTACCTCACGATCCGGTTAGAACAGCCATTGACTGGATTATGTCGGTGTTTAAAAAGAACTTGAAGGGAAAGAAATTTGTGACGGTTAGAACGAGAGGTAAAGGAGTCTCGTTCGGAAGGAAGAGGGGCGAGAACGGATAGGTGAAAATCAATTTCAAGATGATAAAAGAGATTGTGGACTTTGACTTAAATCACACCTTCGTGTGGGCCTCGGATAGGCTGATTAGACAGAAGGAAGGTATTCCTATGGGAAAGACAAGTAGCCCTCCAATTGCATGTATCTTGTGTGCATTTTTTAAATGCTCGTTTTAGAAAAGTTTGGGCAAGGATGTAAGATTGGTGAAGGGGATTCAACTAATTGCTGATGTCTCAATTTTCGCTTGGCACAGCTGGGAGGGAAAGAATCGGGGAAAGGCAGAAGAAGTCTTAAAGAAGTTTGAGAATTCCTATGATCCCAAATTGATGCTGAGAAAAACGGATGAGGGTCAAAATGAGTGGAGCTTTTTAGGATGCCGGATGGAAATCGAGGAAAGTCGGATATCGAGCTGGTATCGAGCAAAGAACTTCAAAGAGATTTGGGATAGTAGTGATGAGTTACAGTACCGATGCTTCCCGGACTTTACTTCATACACTTGCGCAAAACAAAAGCGAACACTAATTAATCGTATGCTCCATAAGATTAAGGAGTGCTCAACTTTGGTTGAACGAATGGAAGAAGGGCTGATGTCTCTAAAAAGAGAGCTTCGGAAGCAACTGTTCCCAGGGGAATTTTTTGATAAAACCCTGTGGCGGTTCGTTCGCCAGCCCGCCCCTGAGTGGGCCCAAATGGCAAGAACAGTGATCTTCGATATAACATAATCTCGATGGGCTCGATACTGAATTCTCTACTCTAGTGAAGATTGTGTACCTTTGGCATGTTGTAGGATTAATGTGTTAGTACCGGTTGAGGCGAATAGTCCCGGTCGGGGGATTGGATTGGGACAAGTTCGGTGGCCATTGTTTGAGTAGGTTCGTAGGAATGTGGTATAAGTACTGGTAGGAGGTAACTTTGTCCTCCCGGTTGACCAGAGATCATGCTTTTTCCTGTCGGTTGGACCTTGGACTCTGTTCCAGAGTTAGAGGGGTCGGATTGTCTAGAAGCCGGCATAACTTTAAATAGTAGGAACAGTGAATAGTTCGATCTCTAAAAACGTCGAGGCGTAGACGTACGTGTGCAGGGCGTTTCGTTCGTGTCTCTCCCGTGTATCCTTTGGGATTGCCGCGGTGCTTCATGGTGTTCTGGTTTTGTCGGCAATTTTAAAGTCTCATCTTCATTCGTGATATTGAATGACTTCTATCTTCAAATCACTATGTTCATTCTGATGAATGGTCTCACTGCATTCTCTCTGTGACCGCTGCATCGCACTCACTTACCTTACCCGTTCCCCGACTTATATAACAATGTAGTGTTTTTTTTATAATTATTTTAAAGGCGAAGTTGAGTGATAAGAACCTTCTGCCCCTTCTGGATAACCAGAGGAAAAAAGAAAGGTGGAACTCTTACCTCCTGGATAAGAACCTTCTGCCCCTTCTGAGTGATTGGAATGAAGGACGACCGAGAGAGAGAGAGAGAGAGAGAGAGAGAGAGAGAGAGAGAGAGAGAGAGAGAGAGAGAGAGAGAGAGAGAGAGAGAGAGAGAGAGAGAGA